CCAGTGAAGCATATCTTCACTGGTAGCCCTGTTATCTTTTAAAACCCCTATAGCATAAGCTTACCTACTTGGCTGGTTCTGGTGGGAAAAGCAGCAAGACACAGGCTGGACCGTAACCTGGCTAACACTCATGGAGCAATGCTTCTACTGCCTTTTCTAAGTCTTGTAAGCCAAGGGGTCGTATGTTTTCTTTTCCAATTGCATTATCCCGCCATAAAGGTTTATAAACTGCTCCATTATTGTATGAAATGCACGGATTCATCCCTTGATCAGCTCAAGAACATTGATACACTACTTACTGCAACAAAGAATGAGCCTCTTACTGAAAGTCATCTAAGTAGCTGAACTATACCTAGCAAGAAAGAGGAAATTACGGGCCATCTGTCTCTCAAGTCACTTAAAAGTGCATTGCGCAAAGCAATGGAAAATATGACACCAGGAACAATTCTCCTGTGGCACTGCAATAAATCATCTAATCTATGATCTTTTTCATCATCTGCTGTTGAATTATGTGAATTGAAAGACAGTATGAACACACTGTAATTATTAATTAAAAAGAGAAAACCTGAGATGACTGATACAGATCAGAACAATTGTATAGATTAGTGATCAGATTCTCATAGTCTTGTTTATACCAAACAGTAAATTGCCGCAAGTTCACCCAATGTAATAACTCTTGAAGCATGTTTGAGAGGATACTGGCTTAAGTATGTAGCTGGGAAATGACATGGTCCTAAATTGAGGAAAGGAACCAGAAAGTTGTCTGAGCTGTAGCATAATTTATTACCTTGCTAGATTTTTCTTGAACTCTGCAGTTAAGCATTACATTTGGAATGAGATTTCTGCTGAGTAAACGGGAAAATAAAGACATTCTCCCATTTAGTTGATCTTTTCCTTGCTATGAAGGCAAAGGATTGGAGAGAAAAGATGTGGAGAGGACTAATGAGCACTTATCATTCATCCCTGATATCCCTAGACTGTTCTTTTTTTTTTTTTTCCTCTGATCTAAAACCCAAGCAGACCATAACGTATCAGCTTTTTAAATACACAGAAGTAAACCTGGAATCAAGGGCTGGTATTCTTCAGACTATAAAAGGATGGTAACATAATAACATTCTTGTACTGCAAAATGACAGCAGAAATTCCAAGTTGAGGCAAAATATAATTCTGAAATGTGATAAACAATGCTGTGTTTAACACAGGAAGTCACAGAAGAAAAATATAACCACTGACAGGAGAATTAATATCAAAGAAGCTGGACCAAAAATTGTAACTTAGCCTAAGATTTTTAACAGCACAGGGTCAAAATCTCCCACATTTCCTCATAAGTAAACAAGAGAAGCAGAATCTGATCCGCATTTATTCAGTAGTTCCAAAACAGAAACAACAAGAAAGCTGCTTAACCTGGATGAAGGCCACCTTCTGGAATAGATCCCATTTCAGAACAACCTTACCCACACTTTTGGTTATCGCTGAGCTGAGCATTAATATCATGCCCAACAAAAGTCCTTGCTACTTAGGAGGTGATCTCTAGGGTCACTGTCGCACCACGTGGTTTCCAACTAACTGTGTTTTTCTTGCTATCAGTTTTGTCTTACTCATGTGACCAGTCCTGTCTGAACCACTGGAAACAATTGCATAAATAAGCTGAACACAATTTCAACCATTAAGTCAATGGAAAGATTATTCGTAATTTCAGGAAGTGGTCCTGTGTGTTTTCAAAAGTAGTTATGACGTCTGTTTTCTGCAGTCAAGATAGAGGCATAAATTACTCAAGGTTACCTTGCGCTAAATATAGACTAGATTATCCTTCCAGGGAAAAAAGCTGAATGAATGGGAGAAAACGCCTCTAGGGATTCCCCTGACGTGATACCACCATATCATTCCAGGAACGATAACCGTTCACAATACAGAAGCAGGTAATGGAGATAAATTGAGCCCTGGGAGATGCCTCAGAAACCAGCAGACACCTATGCAAAGAATCTGCACTTCTCCACCACTTCTTGCCCCTACTTACACAGCACTATGGTATTAACTGATTTTTCTGTTATTGAACAATACTTGTAGTCAGTATGTCGTTATTTTGGGTGACGGCAATGTCACAGCAAGGCAATAAGTATCCAGCCATTTGATATTGGGAATTGGGCAGCTCCTCCCAGAGAAGCAAAAGACATCACTGCCAAAATGAGTTTTCATTAGCTCCTTTTCTCATCATATCACAGGCCATCAGCAACCTCCAAGCAGTCCCCACTTATGCAGCTGGTTACTGTGCTAGGGAAGGGTCTGCAGTGTCAGACCATCCCCGGGTGGGTTGCTTCCAACCTTTACTCGTTACATGATTATTCAGCTATCAGCTAAAGACAGTCCGCTGTAGTGACAGGAAACTGGCTTGAGTGGTCCTTTGGCAATCCCATTTCTCAATTTTTTCTGTGTTTATAACACAGTAGCAAAAATCTGTTCTAGACTTGACTATAGTCCCACAGATATTAGATTGGAGCTGCCCGTGGCGGTCCTCTGAAGAGCGCAAATGTGAGCATCTGAACATCCATATAAACAACAGAAAAGGTCATGAAACAGGGAGAGGAGGGAAACAAACAACAGTGGCTGTATTTTTGTTGAAAGTTTTCAACCAGCTCTAGTGACTAACATGACTTGCACGCTAGTAATGGCATTCCAGTAAAAAAAGAGGTGCCTGAACGTGGTCAGTTCTCATGCACTATTGACTCCCTAGCAAGAAACAGTTCAGTATCATTCTTACTATGTCTAACTTAAAAAGCAAGAAGGCAACAACCCCAGGTGCCCACTGAAGAGATTTATGATTCCAATTACCTTTTCTGTAAAAATTGAGTTAGGGACCACCAACTGTTTCTCTGCAGCAAAGGTAGAAAAAAAAAAAAGGTGGGCTAACGGAGATACATGGAAAGAGTTCCTAAAAGAAGAAATGCTATCCAGTGATGAAAGCAAAGTCTCAAGAGCCGAGGATCCTGCTTTCTATTTTTGGCTCGCCTGTTGTCACAGTGTTAAGAGCTTCGGAGTAGGACACATGAACAGGTGATAGGGCTGATTTCTGCCATTTTACCCTCATCACGCTTTCAGGCATAAATAGTTCCATTAATTACAATACAACTACTCATGGAGCTCTTAACTAGTCTCTACCTAAGCCAGAATCTGCCTCAAAAGGGTATTCGGAAGTTTAATTAATGCACATAAGGCACTATGAGAGCCTACGACTAGAGCTTGCTGTATCACTGCAAGGCAGTAAGTTATGGCTGCAGAGCACTGACTATTGCAGGTGGTTTGAAAACAACAGCAAATTAGCTCCTCGTTGCAATCAAACTGCGGTATTTGCTAGAACTCACTAATGCATTTTATATCAGGTTATATATATCAGCATTTTATATATATCATATATATAATGCATTTTATATCAGGTTATATATATCAGCATTTTATAACAGGGAAAATGAAGGTGATTCAGTACGATAGGAGGTTAAACTGGAGGTAAAAACATTGAAAAAATACCTAGGCAAATGTTTCATAGCTACCCTTCCTGCAATATTTCAATGAGTTATCCTCTCCTCACATAACAACTTCTTAATTAGAGTCTTTGAATGTCCCCAGCGGACAGTTATCCATGTCAGATTTCAGGATATTAGATTAAACACTGACTAAGAGCTTATATTCTTTGTGCAGAGTGTGGAAATTATCCTTTTTCCCCCCCCTCTAATGCCTTCCCCAACTCCCTCTTCCGAGCTACTGCTTCAGACCCAAACTGTAGTGGCTACACTATCAGGTTTAATTCTAGATTGTTTTGGCACTATAATGAGTTGCTGATTTCTAAAATTACCTTTTCTTTTAAGAATAAATAAAAGTCACTGCTGGCAGCCACATACCAAAATCTAATTCTAGGGAGCCCTGCTGGTACACTGCATCCAGTGGTTCTTGAAAACCAAACACATACTTTCGGAAGGAGCTAATTATTTATTTCTAGTCTTAGATATAAGCCCTTACCCCTTCTGTATTCTAACACTTTGTGCTCTTCTAGTATAACATCTTTCCATCTATAAATGTTAAAGTACCTCCCAAACGTATCTTTGTGCAGCCACAACACTCCCTCCTTGGGGAAATAAGCTATTATAGACACAATGTCAGATTTTTTTAAGCTGCCTTGCCACATCGTATATTGACGCGGCTAGGTCCCAGTGGCATTCTTCAAATTCGTGCAGGCTAGCTGCCTAGCCTTTCTGCTAATTCCACTCAGCAATAATCCGTCTTTTAAGATCCTAAAAAACTTCAAAAATTGTGCATTTACTACCCTGTTCTAAGTTACACAGAAAACTTCTGACAGAACCAGGAGTAAAACCAGTCTCCCCACCCTCATTCAATTATTCCATTCATGATAAAGAATTACAAAGTTTAAAAATGGATCTTTGATAAGATATAAATTTATCTCAGGGAACTATCTTTGTTTAAATATATCCCTTTTGCTCCACTGGAGCAGACACACGCTTTCGATCAGATAGTGCCTCTGATATCTGCAATACTTGGCAATACTTTTCATTGTTTTTTGCAGAAAGAACTGCAGGAGAAGAGGCAGAAGGGCTTCGTCCATGCCTGGACACTTCTGTTGATCAGTGCAGAAAAGTCTTCACGCTTCAGAGAGTCAACACTAAGGGGATAACTTTTAAGGAACATATCCCCAAAAGCTTCCCTCACATCACTTCTCTATGCCTTTTCCACTTGTTCAGGGGACAATCACAAAAGTTCTTTCTCAAGGACAGCCCTTACGAAGAGAAAAAGGAGGGTCAATTCAGTAGGACCGCTTTGCTCTGATTTGCCACGTGTGTAGCACCTGCTTCAGTTCACCCTCGATTTTGGTCTTTTGTTCCTGAGGTTACTTAAAATAAGCGGTGCCACTTACATTATCAGTTAGTTTGGCATTAGGATTTCTCAGCCTATTGTTGGAGGAGCTATTGAAAATTACTGCCTCTATTACTCACCAACATTTCTTTCACAAGCTCCAAATTCCCTTCATTCCTCCAAGCCTGGAAATCAGGTGTCCTGCGACTGGAGGCATGAGAGAAATAATGTTAAATTAGGAAAGAGGCTGGATGGGAGAGACTAGAAACTCTTAAGAGACAGACATCCAGGAGAAAAGCACTGGGAAGTTACGCACAAGTGCGCAGGGAAAGTACAAAGCAATATTTTTATATTTATGTATATAAATTAACCTGCAAGGAAGAGAGACAGGTATGTTATACATGCCCATCCAAAAAGAGTTAAGCACAAGAGAATGGGAATGCTAGCATCATTCCCTTATAAATCAGGAGAGATCACGTGAATCTTTTTGATCTGAAAGCAGGTAAGACAATAAAATGCTAACTGCCAACATGAAAATACACTTGACTTTTTTGTAACTGAGAAGCAGAGATCTCTACAGAGCAAAAGTTCAAGGGATGAAATAGTCCCAGGAGAGAGAAACACACGGAAGATCCCACATTGTGTAAAGCTGGATAAAAACAGATTGATCTCCAGTAAGCAGACAGCTAAAATTAACCTGGAGAGATACAGTAAGACGAAGAAAAAATTTCACCAGCCTGAGGAGGGGGAAAAAAAAATATGTCAAATTCTGAAAAAGGGGAAAATTGAGGTAAGACAAGAACAAAAATACGGATTTTGAAAGATGAATAAAAACGTAAACTATTACAGAGAAAAGGAAAATGCTTTGAAGAATATGTCACTATTAAATCGCTGAAGAAAGATCAAAATAAGAATAGGGCAGTGGCTCATGCCAGTTGGCACCTGAGAACCTCCATGCAGAAACCCATACTTATTGCGATTATGGTCTGTGACAGAATCAGGAAATGAAGTATATGAGGCAAGAGAACTTCAGTGCCTAGGACAACAGCACATGAACACAGATTCTTCTCAAGGAGATGAAGCTGGCATCTGAAAAGAAGCAGCAATAACTGTACATCCAAAAAAGCTTATTGTGATAGATACTTCTTCAAATCTTCTTCAAACTTCTTTCAATTTAGAGAAAAGATCAGAGATTAAAGTTTCTCACTGAAAAGTTTCTCACATGTAAATGTGGCCTCTACCATAAGATTAAACATGGAAAGCCAGCAGACCAAAGCAGAGAGAAGAATAGTACAAGGTGACTCTCTGAAGTTATTCTTGGCTTAGCTTGTCATTCTCTTCTGGAGAATAGGGTGGAAAGGAAAAAAGACACAGCATAAAATGAAGAGTAGCGGCACAACCTAAAATGTATAGACAATGTATTTGACTTACAAAATTCAATTAAGCTTCGCAGGAGAAGCTAATAGTGGAGACAACTAAATGAACAAAAAGTCCAACTTTCTTCAGAACACCGAGCAGAAGGACAGAGCTGCATAAGAACAGCACTCTCAGAAAAGTACCAGGTAATCTCTTCTTTGATTAGCTATCAAAGAAAAGAAAGTAAGAATTATGACACTGATGTAATCAAAAGATAACCTCACTAGTGGATTTAAGATATTAAATCCTAACTTTTCTGATCACCAGCACTGCCTAGACAAAGTTGTCAGGTGATCAGACTGTTCACTAGACCAAAGGCATATGATAACCATACTTTGCACTTTTAACCACATGGAACCTCAGCAAACGCACAGACATTTTCTCATCGTTTCCTTCCCAAAGTCAAACAAAGCTGGTGCTAATACTCCATTTAACCAATAGAGAGACTTAAGACTGATAAATTACGTGATTTGGCTGAAGCCACAAACAAATAGATCTTGGAGTTCTTCGTTGTTAACACCATGCTCAGACCATCTTTGTCTCACGTTAATTCTGATAAAATAAAAAGAAGCCACCATTCCCTCTTCTGACTAATCCTACATCACATACATCATTTTCCCAAGCCTTTTAATACACATTTGGAAGGATGCTGACAATTTAAATCCGGATCCCACACCAAAATGCATAAACGCATGCTTTTACAGAACATTAAGGCAGTCAAAATCTTTCCCCATTTTTAAACACTTTGATTCAGCACTCAGCTACTTCTTTGCAACTATGACAACTCCAAAGTAACTGCAAAAGATAATGTCGGCCTTCACTTGTTAAACTTAACGTGATGAGCTTCTGCCATCCTAGTCATGATCATTTCTTTGACTTTGTAGCTTTGCTGCTTGCGTTCCAAACACCGAACGGCAACACTTGTTTAAGAAAGAGAGCAATTTTTTTTTCTGCCTTTGCTTTTATAGCAGCTTTTTTTAAAAGCAGTTTACACCTGTAACTAAACGTAAGCAATCAGTACATGAAAATACATGAAAAAATAACAGCAACAAAAAAGATAAGGCTAAATCACAAGCAGAGCTTTTAAAATACACTCCTAGTAATCTAAGCTGTAAGTAAGAGCACAGACACAGAAACGTATACGATACGACTGGTATATTTATTTGTAACACATGGTATCACACTGGCTTCATTCCAGTAAGAGGATCTTCATTTATAGGAACATCTTGAGAACAACAAAATGACCCTGTTTCAGTTGCAACCTCATCTCTCTAAGACAGATTATTACAGTTTAAAATTTCAGTTGGGCCTCTTCCTTGTAACAAGCTGAGCTCTCACAAAACCGTCTCTCTCTGCTGAATGTCTGTGGTCTGCTGTACCCCATTTATAGTAAATCTATTCCCAGCTCTTTTCCCAAACAGCAAATAATTGAAACAAAATGTGACCTTTTTGCTCACTTCAAATCTGACCTAGAAATGCACAGCTGAAAATTCAACGGACTGATCCTTAAGCTAACTGAAGTGGTGTGGCCCATTCATTCTGTAGAAAATCAGCCCATTGGTACAACAATATTGAGTCAAAAGTTTAGTCTAGTGCTAGCACTTGTAATCTGAAGCCCATTAAGGATGGGTTATGACATTCTCTGAATTGATACAGGAGCATAAATTAAAATGGTATAACCACTACTCAGAAAAGACTTAGACATCGCCATACCAAGCACTATGTGGGTTAGTTTCTTCTATAAAATTCAAATAAATGAGAAATGAAGAGAGAACCCCTACTAATACCATGCCAAAAGTAATGGACCATCAGTCTTAAGCTGCAGAGGCCATTTAAGGAATCTTCCGTTTGCATGGGGAATTTCTGACTACCTCCTGTCACTGAGTTGTTCGTATATGGCAAAAAGTGTCAAGATTTATGGCTTTCAAAATAAGAGGAAAATGATGCAATCTAGGCAGCTTAGCTACCTAATACAGGTAAAAAGAACTGCTTTGGGATTTTAGATCCTATACCCTCTTACTACTGCAGGAGTTTCAAAGTCTCTTCTAAGAGACAGAGAGAGAACTGAGTGGTTTTGGCATTGGTTTTAGAAGTGGAATTTAGTTCTCTGCTTTGCTTTGCATGACCCCGGCCTAATCTCAGACGCCATCTGTATGGGGAAGGAGATAACAGTATTTCTCTACCTCACACAATTGGTACGAGGTTATCCTCAAACCCATGACTCATTAGGGTTGTGAGGAGCCTGAGATAAAAATAAACAAATACCTAAAAGTAGGTGACTTGCCCAGCTTTTGTTTGGGCATGTTAGGCAAGAAAACTGAGAAAGCACTACACAGCCTGTATCCTCAGGCATCTGCTCCCTTCTCCTTGCTAGTTCTTACAGAAACGTGCTTGTTCGTCCTCTGTAGTGAATCTACCCTCACATCAGCCTTCTCAGTCCAATGTAGCAAGTGTACCTCTTCACTTTTATATCGGCTATCCAGCGAGCAGTCAAACTCCCAAATTTCTTCCACTCCCCGGTGAATTTCCCACCCTTCTTCACTGAATATATTTAACTGCACCTATGAGGCTGTTTTCACCTGCATTGTAACTAAGTGTCCTACTACCCCAAATAAAGTGTTATCGCTAAGGATGAGAAATAATAATGAAATATGATTTTTGCCATGAAAAACAGAAGGCCCATCAAGGGGACTGAGTTGTGCATATCTAGTGGGGTCGGCATGAGCAAAATACTATCAAAGACACTACTGCATTTCGTGATGACTAACTGCAGCAGCCCATATGCTAGCCCAGGTGACTTGCTGAGCAGCAACAAGTGCTTAGGCATCCTTCTTTATTGGATAAAATACGAACTCTCCTTGGAGAAACAAATTAAAATCAAAGGTGGTTGTAACAAAGCAATTCCCACTCAGAGTGACCCACATCAAAATCAGAATAAAATAGCTTTTCTTTTTAATTATGAAGACTCTGATCTTCATCCACATCATTTCCCTTTTGATGGGTTTTGAATGTAATATTTTGTGATTAACGTCAAATATTAGTAGCATTAAAAGGTGGCAAGTACAAACGCACCACGTTGTTAGTTGACTTTGTTGTTACTTTTCTGTCATACTGTCTGCTTTGGGAGGGTTAACCTCTGAAGCGAACTCTTTCACGATTTGCCTCATGAAGGATTAATGACTTCTTCTAGGATGTTCATGTAGCAAGCAGGAAAAAAACTTGGATTGCTAGCTGCTATCTCGTCTTTCGACTTCAGGCAGCACTGGCAAACACACAGTGCAACAGCAAAACTTATCACTGGGGCAAAGGGAGCAAAAGGGCTGAAATTAGAAAAGACAGTTTGGCTGCTTTCGATTCAAGTGGAAGTATTACAGAAAAATGTTTTGAATTATGTCATGTAGGGCAAATGTCATTGCAGTTAGTAAGAATTTACCGTGCCATCAAATGTCAGGACAAATTACACTGCAGGACAGGCGAGCTGTATGTCACCCTCACTTCCAAAAGGCAAAGCTTCTCCCCACTGCCAGGAAACCGCTTCCACTTTTGAGTCAATTTAAATCAAATTGCTCTTATTCAAATCAAAATGAGTGTGCAGGGAGTGCTGCAATGACATTATGGACAATTCTTAGGGTCCTCCCCTGCTTTCTGAGGGACCAAGTGCTTTGCTTCTCAAAACATCACCTCCAAATACAATCACTTCAAGGCTATTCAGTTGCATTTATAAATGGCTGCCTGCAAGTGCTTACCATGCTAATGAAAATGTCTCAGCATCCTCTATATCCCTGGGTCTGTCTGTGCCCATCTATTCTTTCCTGCCTCTTAGATTGTATGTTCTTTGCAGAAGGGAGCATTTGTGATTTATGCTTGGTCTTGCATGGTGCCTGGCACAACTGAGGCCTAGGCAATGACTGGGGTCCCTCAGCACTACTAATAAAAATGAATAATAGTAACATCGAATTCATTGCACTAGAAAGCAGTAGGACAAGGTAAAGTCATAACCAAAATCAGGCTAGTCTACTTTATTCAACTGTAAGAAGGGATTCTTTCACTGAACTGTGTGAAGGTCTAGCAAAAGGAGCTAGTTTCCGTTCAGCTATACTGAAGTTTGAAAATAAAGGTTTCAGACAAACAAATTATCAGTGCTTCGATATGGAGAACAAGCATACCTTTACATTCTGCAGAAAAAACAAGAGAGAGAAAATATTTTCAATGAGATGAAGGAAATGTTTCTTCATTGGCTTTGAAGTTTTCTAATACAGGACCCAGCCCATAAATCTTCAACTGCTCTTCCAAAAAAGCCTTTCCTTTAAAACTATTAGATCACTGAAACAAATTAACCAGAAGCTATGCAAGTTTCAGTTAATATTTGAATACTTCTAGTGGGTATCAACCAGAAGGTAATCTGTTCCTTCCCCTTCTGAACTATTTCTGCATAGTTTCAAGCATTTCTCATCTAAAAATAATCTAAAAGGCTATCAACACTAATGCCTACATATCAATGACAACATGAAAGTTCAGGGATCCAGGGCATGGCTTTGATTTAAAACACTCTTACCGCCATTTACTTATTCTATCCCACAGCCACTGGCTGCCATCCCAACAGCAGGGTTGCAAACCTGGACTGTAAGCGTCTCTGTCACTTTGAAGTCAAGTGCAGCGAGGGAATGGCACTGAAACAGCAGCGAGGCTGCCTTTCAGTGAAGACGCGGACTGTACGCAGAAATAGCGGGGTGCGAGCACGCGTTACACACCAGCACTACTGCAGGGCAATGGCCTTTGGCAAACGAAAACAGAGCAACTGTGGGGCTGTTAACATCCTTTTTGCTGTGAATATGTGACAACAAATCCAGCTAACTAAGGCACGGAGACGTTCTGACCATGTGCGTTTTAGCTTAGTCACTAGTACCAGTCCTTTCAGAGAAGGATCAATTTACATGCAATTGTGTCTGTCATTCTGACGCGGTCTGACTGGCTGAACCTTAGCTACAACCACAGAAGATGAACTTCCCTCCATATAGTCGTTCTCCATTCCCAGAACGGCTGCTGCAGGAACACAAATGCTATTTGGAAGAATTACCTGTCACACAAGGACAGCCAGAGACCCTGTCCTAGACTGGGTTCCTCCCAGGATCAGATAAAGCAAAAACTTGGGAGTTCCTATTCAGAAAAGTATAGGGTCAGAATAGGCAAGGTGGGATATTAAATGGTATTCTCATTTTGCACATGCAGAACCAAGGTCCTCCCACTATAATAGAAATTTGCAGTTGAGCTGGGGACTCCACTTACATTCAGTGTAAGGGTCTTCAGAATGAGAAAGTGCAGAGCAGATCAGCACTTACACCTGCTCAACCAAACAACATTGAGTAGCAACACAGACTTAGTTGGAGCACTTCTGAGCATGGACACCAGACGCTACACAAGCATCTGGAGGAAAAAAGTAAACTCTTCAGAGAAATATCTGCCATCCAGACAAGGTCTAAGAGGCATTGCATTCCCTACGGCTGAGGTTTTTATGGTCTTTCTATGTACATTCCTCCATACCAACAATTACAGAAAATTACTGGAATGTCCCGAGCACTCAAGGGCTTGCATGTGTTTCTCCTTGTAAATTGTATTTGTTACTGCTTATCTTTGCATTTTCTACATACTCCACACCTTTCTGTTCCCATTACTTCAGTGTACAGTTCAACTTCTATAGGACCATAGCCTACTTCCCCACCTTTAGAAGTGGATCTCTTAAATTTAGTTCCTGTGCACTTCTCCTTCTTCTTCTTTTGTGAACATGATACTTGTGAAAACATCACAGTGATAACAGTGGAAACTGGTGGCCGCTATTTCTGTACCAAATAGAGGCAGTGGCAGTGCCTTCCCCCAACACAAACAGTTCCCTCATCATCTAACACTGGCTGGTGAGAAAAGAGCATCACATGCAGACTGCCGCTCGTAGTCCTTTCTGGGTTAAAGCAGCCACCCGCGAAGACTAGCTGTAATTGAACCTTTTTGCAACTGCATGGCTGCCTAATTTGGGCTCCTGAGTAATGGCAGCTGGCCTTGTGGTTTTGCATTTGTTGCTTTGTGTTGGCAGAATTAGTTTGTTTAATTTCTTTTTCTCAAATGTTTCTACCAGTTCCCAACAGCAGTTTTGGAAAACTTCTGCAATTTATCATACCTTTCTTGAAAACAACCCAATAAGGAAAGCATTCAAAATACATGACAATGTATCCAGGCATCAAGAGAAAGACACAGGAAAATGTATCAAATCTGAACATTTGATCAAGTAAAGGTATCAAACAAATGTATTCCCCTCCCCATCCCAGCTGAAAACAATACATCATTAGTATCTTTTTACTGGAATATACAATTTCAGAACTTATCAGTTTGTATAAAAAGCAACTTAACAATCCTAAAAGTGAAAGAACACTGTAAGACTTTATGGTGAAAATAGCATAATTTGGGTCTCTAACTACATCTAGTTTAGAGACATTCTCTCCGGACTAGGACCGATCCTGTATGAAGAGGTATGAGTTCCAAAGCTACTTGAATCCACATCATTAGCCAATAAGATATATGTGAAAGATGTCTTAGGTGGCGAGAAGGTCTCCTATTTGCACATCTCAAAATAAAGGAGACCTGCAGAGCTGGGAGATATTTCCAGACTCATGTTGGCTATCTGAGCAGATACTTCATACAATAAAAGTTTGAATTTTATAGGATCTGAGGATTCACGTTTGTCATTGACTTTTGAAAGCTCAGGCCTTTTCTGGTCTGAATACAGCCCAGTTATACATTTACTACAGACGATAATTTTTAGCCATGAGCTCCTAAGCTGGATATTGCCTCTGAACCAGTCTTCATTACTTCCACAAGCTTCGGAGAGCAACTCAATTGCTACCTTGGGCATTGCCACAGAAAGAATAGATGCACTGCAATAAAGAGAAACAAACTGGCAAAAAACCCCCTTGTGCCTTACCTTGTAGTGGGAAGAACAGACACCTTCAAACATATCTATATCCACACAGTCCATTAGTTCTGCCCTTTCTGATCAACAGCAGTGCTTCCAGTTTCTTGCTTTTCTTATGTTATATTTTAAATTTGCCAGCTGGTGCAACCTGTAAATTTACAGAATTGGGTATGTTATTCCAAGACGTTTATCCATATCTCATTCTACAAGGCACTCGATTTAAATATATATGGCACTGTGCCATGTGGCTCCCTTTGCTCTCAAGAGCTTTCAGTGCAATGAGTTACCGATTGCAATGTTTCTGCCAGTCATTGATTTTTTTTGAAGATAAATAAGCAGATGGGAGGAGACAGAAATGACTTTGTTAGGATTTCTTCACAAGCTTTCCAGAATGTCATGTTCCATACATGTATATCTTACATAATTGAGAATATGCTCTTACCTTTTTTAAATTCAAACACTCAAAACTTTGAATTGTCAATTTCTTTGCGATTGTCTCTGTTAAAGACCAATTCTTGTGGAAGGGGAATAAATTAAATAATTTAAACGCTAGTTCAGGGACAGGAATGCTACCAATTTTTGAAGAGCTGGAGGTTGACAGACTGTATTAGAAGAGCAAAAATGTTCTGCTCATCCATCATGCAAATAATTCGCGGTAGGACGCTTAAACTTCAACTCAGAGAGGATACTCAGGTTGACAGTGTCTTTAATAAAGTGGAAAATTAGAGAGGACAGTGAGGTCCTGCAGAGAAACAACTCGGAACAAACAAGCTCTGGCCAAGATTTGTGTTCATCAATTAAGCTAACAAAAAAGAAAAATTCTTTCACAGAAGTTTTTTTAAACAACGTTCAAAATTTGCCAGGAGCAGGGCGAATTTAGGAGGACAGTAGGCATATTCATTTGGAAGGCTTCTTCTTGGTAGAAGTACTCAGGGAACCACAGTGAGATTCCTCAAACATACATTATTGCAGTGCCGGGACGCAACTAAAGAGAACTCTGAGGGCATGGCCGTGCCACAGCGCTACCTAAGACGACAAAAGCACAAAACAAAAATTGATTGCCCTATGCCAAACTCCTACAGGACACTCAGTGTGCACAACCGTTGTCAATGTTGCGACTGTGCGGATGGGGAAGAGGCAGCCTGCAGCGGGGAACAAAGAGAGGAACGACCCATCAGCAGCAAGCGTGACAAGAGTTTGTGAAAAAACATCTGGAACTGCATTGTTCTTGGTTGCTCAGTGAGATTAATCACCCTCATGATGCACAGGCTCTGTTCAAATACCAACAGAAACAAAGACAGAAATCAGTAGGAGATCCCCCCTCAATCTGCCGTTATAAATGGAACGTTGCAACATTACGGTGTATTTAAACCATGGATGTATTCTATTTCTAGTGCTTTGTATATAGCACTGTGTGACTATTTTATAGGGTTTGTCCTATATAACGAGAGACATTAAGGAATTTCTGTAGCTCATGTAATGCAAAGTCCAGCTTAACAAAACTTCTGAAGTCTCTTCAAGCGTCTAGTTACGTGATATGCCATTAGCTATTTACTCAGAAACTAAAGCAAAGGGAACTAAGTGTTTGAACGATAACACGCCTCTTGATTAGCTGCTGTCCTGGTTTCAGTTATTTAGTAATGTGGATCTACAGCGGTATGAAAAGATAAAACTGAGCAAAGGAGTGTTACCAACATGTAAAAGTGATTCCACCGCTCTCAGCTCCGTATATTTGTTATAACATAATACAGATATTATCTATAAATGTTAGTTATACCTCTTAAGATCTTCTCCATGTCAAAAGCAGACTTTCTAGCTTTTCCTCTGTGTGCGTGTGCGTGTGTATGTATGCGCGTGCACGTGTGCAAAAAGAGTATTCTGTCTGCACCTCTCAGTCTTAAGTTAGGCAGTTGTGGAACATGCTATAACCATCACTTTAACAGCTTGATACAGATAACATTGATGACCCCTTTTAAGTCTTTGAATATGAATACCACTGATCTTGTTTACTCCTCCCTCTCTTTCATAGTGTTGGTGGAGGTACATCTGTTTGTCCTCCCTTCTGCTACCGCTTTAGGTATTCAAGATCATAGGCTTTTAAGATTCCAACTCTATTTTGAGAAAATGCAACTCAGAAACCTATTTTTATATAATTGCTTAGGTGGATTTTGGAAACCCCACCTTCTTCTTTCTTGCCCCAATAACTTCCTAGGACCTAGTGGACTTCCCACCTTTTCACTCTAATCCTCCAGCCCTGAAAAGCACAAACTTTCATTGCTATGAAGACTTAACAAGTTTATTGAACACCAGGGAGAAGGGATGGTGTTGCATGTTGCCATGGTCTACACTCTAACTTGCAGCACTTGCAAAGGGTATCCTTCAAGGCTAATTTTAACCTGGTCTCCCCAAGCTCCTTCTATGAGGAAAGAGAGATTTCTCCAGACGTAATTCAGAAGACTACAGTAAGGTCTAGCTCTGAACTGATTTCTTCAGGACTCTTTTTCTTCCTGTGGATTATAAAGGAGGCCTACAGAGACTACCCTCTGTTAACATCTCGCCTCACGCACACTATGAATGCCTACTCAGTAGGATTTCAAAAGGGTATTTGAAAACCTGGCAATCTTCTGCTAAACTTGGGGGGAGTTGATGATGATATCTACGTTGCACTCGCAGAAAGCAATTGAAAAGACGACACCCTTCAGGATCCTCACATTGGGCCTGGTGCAGTGACTGGATGCAACGCATTCACTGATAAATGATAGCAATCATTTTAGAGGATCGAAAAAGAGTTTCTTAAGTGAAATATTCAATTAAAGTAATTTGATAACAAACCCAATCCTAAAGCTCTTATTCACTGCTGCTACTCCTTGTGTTGCACCTCTCTTTTCTTCCACAGTGACATCCCCCTTCAGCCATGTTATACAAGTTGAGTCTCCATTTGGATGGCGAGCCAAAAGGAGTTGCAGCCCGATCTCCACTTTTACAAGGCATCTACTTTGGTGGAGGAACACAAATAACAAGCTGAAATCCAGTGGTACCTTTCTCTGAAAGCATTATTGAAAATAAGTACACAAAGAAGCACTTCTTGACTATTTTGTAGACCCTGACATACACTGACTGTAACAGTAATGTTGCTTGTAATAACAGTAATACTTGGCTCATATAACGTTGCATTTATCAGAAGCTCTAAAAGCATTTGGTGAAGTTTAATAGAGCTGTCTCCATCTTACAGAAAGATGGGGGAGGACCAACCCTTTGCTGCACCTGCTAGGCCAAATTGCCTCTTTCTAACAGAAATGAGCAATTTTTTAATCTTATGTGATGCAGGACTAGTTTACACTTTGATTTTGCCCAGCTTAACTACAATCACTTAACTGTGCTCTTTGACAGGACTACAATCTCTGCCCATGGAGAAAGGTGACATCTCATCTCATGCCAGTTTTCCTAATGTGCTGAGATAGTGCTATATAGTGTCAGCCCATATTTCTGTCTTCGTGTTCCTAAAGAGTTTTAAACTGGAAAAATTCAAACATAAAAAGGAAGGATACAGGAGGTGGAAGCGGGGACAGGTGATCCAGGAGGAATACAGAGACACCATCCAAGCACGCAGGGATGGGGTTAGGAAAGCAAAACCCACCTGGAGTTGAATTTGGCAAGGGATGCGAAGGGCAAAAAGAAAGGCTACTACAAGTGTATCAGCAGCAAAAGAAAGAGCAGGGAAAAATGTGAGCCCACTGCTGAATGGGGCAGAAGAGGAGCTGGTGATAAAGGACACGGAAAAGGTTGAGGTACTCAATGCCTTCTTCCAATCTTTGGGAAGGCAACGGAGCAAATAATCCTGTAAACTGCTTCCAGACATATGAAGGACAAGAAGGTGATTGGGAGTAGTCAGCATGGATTTACAGAGGGGAAATCATGCCTGATCAATTTGAAAGCCTTCCACGATGAAGTGACCAGCTTGATGGACAAGGGGAGAGCAGCGGATGTTGTTTATCTTGACTTTAGCAACACTTCTGACACTATCTCTCATAACATCCTCACTGACAAACCACTAAGGCACTGACTAGATGAGTGAGTGAATTAAAAACTGGCTGAACTGCTGGGCTCAGCAGCATAAAGTCCACCTGGAGGCCAGTCACTAATGGTGTCTCCCAGGGGACAATACTGGGGCCAGTGCTGTTTAACATCTGCATTAATTAACCAGACAATGGGACAGAGTACACCGTCAGCAAGTTTGCAGATGATACAAAGCTAGAAGGAGTGGCTGATACACCAGATGGCTGCCATTCAGAAGAACCTCAACAGGCTGGAGAAAGGGGTAGGGAGGAACCTCATGAAGTTCAACAAAGGAAAACGCAAAGTCTTGCACATGGGGTAGAATAATGCCATGCACCAGTACAGGCTGGGACGAACTGGCTGGAAAGCAGTTTGGCAGATAAAGACTTGGGGGTCCTAGTGGACAACAAGTCCTACAGAAACCAGCAACGTGTCTTTGAGGCAAGGAAAGGCAACAGCCTCCTGGGCTGTATTAGGCAGAGCATTGCGAGCAGGTCAAGGGAAGTGATCGTTCCCTTCCACCCAGCGCTGGTGAAGCCACATCTTGAGCACTGGGCCCAGCTCTGGGCTCCCCAGTACAAAAAAGACATTGACATACTGGAGCAAGTCCAGTGAAGGGTCATGAAGATGATTTAGGGCTTGCAGCACGTGACAAATAAGCAGAAGCTGAGAGAGCTGAGACTGTTCAATCGGGAGAAGAGAAGGCTCGGGGGGATCTTATCTATGTCTATAAGTAACTTATTGGTGGGAATAAGGATGGCGGAGCCAGACTCTTCTCAGTGGCATCCGGACAAAGGACAAGAGGGAAACGGCACAAACTGAAATACAGGAAATTCCATTTAAAAATAAGAAAAACTTTTTTTACCGTGAGGGTGGTCAAGCACTGGGACAGGCTGCCAGGAAAGGTTGTGGAGTCTCTAGCCTTGGAGATATTCAAACTCTGACAACGGCCCTGGGCAACCTGCTCTTGTTGACCCTGCGCTGAGCAGGAAGTTGGACTAGATGATCTCCAGACGTACCTTCCAAACTCAGCGATTCTGTGATTCTGTAAACAGAGCACTGCTCCCTAAATTTTTTACAGAGATGTTACGACATGACTAAGTCAACAAAAACCTAACTCTGAAACGGCAGGACAAGAATTTCAGTTGAGGTCTCCATGCTTCATAGATGGAATGGATTGATGAAACAATGAATTTGGAAGTTAAACTAAAGCTTAAAGAGGTTCCTTACTGTAAGAGTCATACAGCAATTCCTCTTGTGCCTTTCTCAGAAGGACAAGCCTCAGTGGTCACAGTTGCTCACAGCAAGCTCAGGGGTTCTGCTTGCAGCCTTTAACACATTGTCCACTTGTGGCACTGTGTGATCTGTCTCTTCCCTCATGTCATGCTCCCAGAGAGAGAATACCACAACAATTCTAGTCAGCAAATCTTATCCTCAGCATTGCAGCACACTGTGGACAAGATCTGCTTTCTGTTGCATGAGAAATGATAAGAGAGAGCATAGGGAATTTCTTCTCCTGTAATAAAGAACTGGTTGGATCTTTACTAAGCACTCAAGAGAGCTTTGCAAAGGAGAACGGGCATACGCACCAGCTCATACACTTCTCTAAGGGAATGCTATCTGCAAGCCAAAGGTCACAATGAGTGCTTTAGCTAGGAATTACATATGCTGTCATCAGTAACAAGGACTACCCAGCAGCACGCAGGGACGCATTGTGCTCCTACCCCAAGGAGTGACTAAGTGTTCCACATAATTCAGTTCCTCAGTCAGCCAGGAGCAAAAGACAGCTTATAGCTCTCCCACCCCCATCCCTTTCTCCCCTTATTGCAACAGTGATCATATTCCCAACATTATATCATTAAGATCTATAGATGACATCTCTAAACTCAAAATTCTGGTCTCTGACACCCCACAAAGTCAAATTTAAGAGTTTTACTCACAACAGGGTACAAAGTAGGTCCAAAATTACAATCTGATTTTACTCCTAGTAAAACTACTAGGAGTTTTACTCCTACTCTAGGTAGGAGTACTCTTTACCTCTACTCCTAGTCAGGAATAACTAAGTTTTCAGTCAAATGGGAGACTCAAATAAGAAAATTTTCTAAGCTAAAAACTTACCAGCAATGTTATTTTGTTTTTTATTTCGTGTATTTACTGTGGCAAGTATATGCCTCCAGCTGCGTTACTTGCTGTTACTCCATGGTAACTGCGTTGTCTCATGTTTTGCTAAGGTGTAGCTCAAGATGAGACCTTTTTTTTTTTTTTTTTTTTTAATTTTCTAATGTTTTTAGTTACCCCAACTTAACTACCACAGTGGTAAATTCACACTCTTATCACTCAAAAAGTTTTGATGCAGACAACAAAGTTTGCTTTAGTTGTGCTCCGTCACAGCCCAGGCTTTGGAAACTATAACTGCACCGTCTATTTGCAAATTTGTTGGCTTCGGATTCATTTAATTGTTCAGTGAATATGGCCATATGAGTCGCTACAGTCTGCAAACAAAGGTTTCATGAAACCATCAAGTGAAGGAATTTTCTCTGAACTCTGAGGAGGAATAAATCATCTGCAAATACCCACACTACACTTTATGCGCACATTAATTGCCTCTACTTATCTGGAAATCGATCAATCCAATGGCCAAAACCTCTGGCATAGGTATGTCTTCAGAGAAGAACATGTTTACCTGCAGTGAGCTAGTCTGGTGCACGAATTTGTTGTGTTTTGTTGCAGTAACTGTTGAGGCAACCAAGGTCTGTTGCGTGCCCACCCGAGGCATTTGGCGTAGGCAAACTCCAGCCATGGGCAAGGGCGGGCTGCGCAGCAATGCGATCCGCGCCGATTCAGCTCATCTGCTAAGGCAGAACTGAGCCCTGGCAAAACCTCCCAGGGAAGGCAGCACCAGAGCAGACGCTACAGCAAAGACACTTAGCAATATTGCCTCCCGTTGCCAGCAGAGGAAAGATTGCCCAGTGTTTTCAAACTTTCTAAGGCAGTCTTAATGTATGCACATTATTGCAGCTCTTTTAGCATAATATTAGCGTGTCAGTTTTATTAGCACAAATAGAAGGCTTTGTCAATAATAAAATGGAGTTTTATTTTATTCTGCATTATGCTATAACTGTAGATATTCTATATAAATGAATAATTGCATCTCTCCCATTTTAACACTTGTAATTGCCTTTCTTTTTCTTTAATCTCTCCAGTGGAAAGACTAAAGTTCAACTTATTCCATATCTGGCATTAATCTAGAGAACATCAGTTTACAAGGACAGAGTAAATTCCATCAGTCTTAATAGGATTAAGGGTATTTTTGCAGTTTTCAAATCCTCAGGAAAAAAAAACCAAACTTTTTTTAAAGGAGTAGTGGGTGCTCATTGAGATGATTAGTAGGATCCATCACAATCAGAATAGCTGGTATTCAATTTAGCATAATTACTTTACTGCTTCAGAGTCAAAGATTACTTTATTATTGGGAGCTACAGTAAACCTGCTATATAAACCAGAAAGCGGATGAGAATAGGTCACTCTAGGACAACAGCATAGTAAGAAACAGCCAATTGCTTGCATGTGTAGATTTAGTTCCGATTAATACAGCATTACAGTTAAGTCACTAAAGTGTTTTCAGATACAGGTAGCACTGCCGTTCCTGTACTGTTACCTGTTCCTGGAATTTAACTGGTTAAATTGCTCTGCAAACGTAAGATTTCAAACTTCATTTTAGGTTTGTACCATCCAATTGGCTTCCCAGAATTACTGCTGCAGAGCATTCTTAATTAGGAGAAAGTTACGGATTTTTTTTAAAAATTAGTCATGCCTTTGAACTGTACTCTTTAATCTGCTCTTCCTCCCTCTCCCCCCCCCCAAAAAAAAGGATCAGCTGTAGAATGACAGCGTCATTCATCAGAAGCACATTCTCATTGCTGATCTACCTCCTGAGGCGGTCAAAGGGTCATCTCTAAACGTTAGAGCGTCCGCAGGGTAAAGAGGGGCTGAGCCTGCTCGCCTTGGCCAGCGGCGTCTTTCGCGGAAGCTTCTCCGCATAAGCGATACCCTCCACAGAGCTCCAACGCCTGAATGCTCTCTGCCGTGGCGAAAGGTGGGTTTTCTCTGTGAGATTATATACTTTGCCGTTCTGCTGCACGAGCACAGCCAGTTATTCATAGCACGCTCCGGTATCCCTTCCTTCCTTTTTTTTTTTTTTTTTTCTCCGCGTGTCGAAGTCAGTTCCATCCTTAACTCTCCATCCACGGCTGCTCTCTTTACCTCTGCCGTCACCCTTCAGCCCACCCTCAGCTTTCAAACATTTGCCCCAACCAGCCGTCCGCTCCCTCCTACTGTTTCAAAGAAATGCACCAAGGCTCCCTCTTGCAAAGCACCTAGACGAGAGGTACAGCCTACCGCAGGGCTACAACCCGCTACGCTCCCAGACCCGCCTCAAAAAAAAAAAAAAAAAGAAAGAAAAAAAGAAAAAAAAAAAGAGGCCGGCTC